AAAAACGAGAAATTTAATATAAAAAATTTTAAATTAAAAAAGCTTTCAAAATGCGACCTTGATATGTATGATGGTTCTTTGGCATATCAAGACCTCATAATTTTTATGCTTATAAGCAGCTTACAAATTGATCTACCACTATGTAGTTAAATAACATAATCTTTTTCTATTAGATACAAATATTTGAACTCAATCATATAAATCATATATAAGTAAAATAATTCCACATTTATCTTATTCAGTTGAATATTACAATTATCATGACACTTATTTTTATTTATTCCAATATAGACCTTTTCTAGTTCACAAATTGCTAGTCACAAAAATAGAATTTTTTTCGGTCAAAAAATTATATTTCTAAACAATTATTAAGACAAAATCTTTCAAAAATAGATATTTTAATAAAAATTTTTACAGACGCATTTTTTCATACAAGTATTATTAAGTATATGTTATGAAATGCATGCACTATGTTGAGATTATAAAATTTGAAGAAATATTTGTAATTTTTACTATCAACTTATAAGTGAAAATTTATTTTTAGTCATCACACATGTAGGATGTAACATTGTTCATGCAGAACTTAACAGTATGAAATTAAAAAATTATTTTCTTTTAGACTTAGCACTGACCATTTTCTAATACTAATCTATCGTTAACATTGTGCTCAGCTTACGGTTTTTTAAATTTTAATTTATTTTTTATTTTATTTTTTAAATATAGCTTATGTAAAAACTATTTAAAAAATTTTATTAAAGCATTTAAGCCCATAAAAAATAAATGAAAATTTACGTTGTATTAAATATATGTGTGTATCTGTTAAATAGAATTAAACTGAATCTAAATGTTTGTTAAAATAGTGTGAATGGTAATGGCTTCGCATACATCTGTATCTGTATATTCTATATGAAAATTACTACCACACACAGTCTTAAACATGACTTTTGTTAATATTGCTTTTAGACAAAAGTAGTCTTTAAACAGAAAAAATTAAAAATCTTATATCATATACTTGAATAATCTCACAAACGTGATGGTCAAGGATGCTGACTTAATAATGCACGTGTAGCCATAGCGAGCATTTTCATGCGACTCGTCGATCGATGATTCGGATTACTTGCTACAAATGTAGCCAATTGATTTTGTAGAGTCATTAGCACCGTGCCCATATGTTCTCGTGTTACGGGATCACTTGGATCTAAATTTAATATTGCTTCTTCCAACCACCTAAAAAAAAATATTTTTATTTAAAAAATATATATTTAAAATATTTTATAATATTTACAAAAGTGTGATATACAATATTTTTTTCATGATTTATATATAAATTATAAAATAATAAATACCTGTGTTTCAATTCTGTACGATGTCCTAAATCAGCAGATAATTGTTGTACGAGAGAAAGAATCACGGGTTGCTGCAAAATGCATCGTGAACCTTGTGCTGTACACGAAAATACTCTTGAAGGTTCTGTTTTTTCACACACTAGTACTACCAATCCCAAATCACTTGCACTCAAAGCCTGTTGAAAAGCGGCGTTTAATTGACCTCTTTGAAGAAGAGACATAACACGTGATTGAGCATCAGCTACAGCGGTTACAGGTATAGCAGGGGTTGTAGCTCTTGATCTACGTTTCAAGAATAAAGTATTTTAATAATATCTTCATGATAATACTTTTAATAATGTTAAACTTTAGATTTATCCTTACCGCGCAGTAGAAATTTCTGTAAGTTGCTGATTTAGATTTTCTCGTATAGAATCACGAATTGTTCGTATAGTACTATCTTGCATCGTCGTTAAAACTCTATTCAATTCAGTTTGTATTTCTTCGCGTACCAATGTTGATAACATTTCGCTTAACTGCTCATTATGACGTTGATTCTGTTTATCGATAACTGTATCAATATGTTGTAAATCTATAAAAAAAAATGTTACATAGTACATTGAAGAAATATTTAATTGTCCTCATATTAACGGAATAAGTTACTTACATTCGCGAGTACCTTTAATGAAGACGTCTTGGATTTGCTTAAACATAATTTGGCAAACCTTTTCCATATTAGGTAAGAGGACAGTTGTAAATGCTTCTTTAAAAGTAACTTCCAAAGCTGGTTTTGCTGCATTTGCAGCTGTCAAAGATAAGGTATCTTTTACATGTGAACTATTTATCAATTCAGTTATATTCTTCTGGAAGAGTTCATCCATTTGATTTGCGTCTAATCTCATTTGATGCTTCAAAGGCTTTACTGTTTCTTCAACTATACACGGTAAGGTACTTTCAATCTTATCTTTGATCGTTGTTTCAAATGTATTTAGAAATTCATGTTGACGAGTCATTTGATCATATAGAGTTTGTTCCAAGTTCGCATTTTGCTGCTGAGACATTCTCGCCAATGCAGATTCTATTCGCGTGGATACTGGTGATTCTTGCCGTAATCTAGTAACCTCTGTACGTAACTCTTTTAGTTCTTGACACTGATCCTGAATTATATCTAAAATAGATTTCAATTTATTATTTAGTTCAATATCGTTTGTTCGCCATGATAATCCAGGATCATCGGTAGGAAGAGACGACGTCTTCGGTTCAACTTTTGTCTTTTGCCTCTGCATATTATTTTCATCATCTTCGGGAAATTCTTCAGACTCTTGCATCGCATGCACACTAACATCTTTAAGCAAGACCATCGGGATATTAGACCAATCTTCATCGGCATTCGTTTTTATTTCCTGCTTGCCGTCGATATCAGTTTCTTCATCTGGTTTGGTAAGAGATAAAATTTCCCTTACTTCTCTAGATGGACTGCTTCCACAACTTGCAGGAGCTTGCTCTTCTATATCATTTTTTACTAGTGGTGGATCAGATGCGTTCAAAGCTTGCACCGCTTGTGCAAGAGGACTACTTGACAAGACTTTCCTCAAATCTGGACTCCCTGGATTAGACTCCAATTCGTTGTTATCTTTTTTTGCAGGTGAACTAAATGCATCAGGCGTCATTAAGTTTAAGCCACCAGTATTATGATTAATTGTTGTTTCAATTGCTGAAGATAAAGATCGTTCTCCCTCACAATTTTCTCCGGACATACCGTTGTGAGTAACGGTTCCCATATCTGGCATATCTTCAGAATATTCCAGCGTATCATGAGCAAGTGTATCTATAAGATAATTGCTTGCTTGCGAGGCAGGTTTAAAAGCAATGTGACATTCTTGTAACGACTTTGGTTGGACTAGATACATGTAAATAACAAGTTGTTCTTCGTTTTCCTCAATCTCTTCACATAGATCTTCTAATGATTCACCAGTCGACCGTATTTTACGTTGATCAGCATCGACAATTCCGAAACTTAGAATTGGATATGGTAGGAGAAACTCTGATACCGTGCTTATGCAAGCTAACGCTTCATTTTTATCTTTCGTAAGACTTAATATATATAAAATTTTATTATATATGTCTGATAAAAACAGATATCCAGCACCAAGATCTAAGCCTGCTTTTAGTACCGGTATTTTGCCCGTGGAAGGATTTGGAGCAAATTTGATTGTTTGTAAACAAGTCCACATTTCGCACGACCATACTTTTAATTCTGAATTATTGTCACACCCCGTCACAGCAAATCTCCAAAATTGAACACTGAAAAATAAATATTTCCTTTAATTATATTCAATTTATCGAATAAAAATATACATACATCGAATTGATATTTTCAAAATACTCACTCAGGTTGATAATTTTTATGATCATCAAGGAAAAACAGACAGGAAATGGGCCGTCCTCCGTGAGGCCTCCATTGATGTAAACAACGTGGTTGCGGATTGCCATTGTGAGAATTACTATGAAGGAAGACTTGAAAGAATTTTACTTCTCCATCTGTACTAGCCGTTGCCAATGCAGTGCCATCTGGACTAAGGGCGACTTCAACAATACTTCCCGAGTGCTGATTAATTTCCATCATGCCACCACTTTCTTTAACACTTGGATCTGTTGCCTTATTTAGAAAAGAAATTGAGAATTATTTATCGTATATGTTTCATATGTAATAAAAATTATGGAATATATGTTTATATACCTCTACTGATCTAAAGTTTGATGCTATTGTTGCAACCGACCACAATTCAACCTTGGAACCACGTGTTAGGACTAATAATTTTGATACTTCATCTCCATCAGAAGCATCCTCCTCCGGGATGTATGGGCACCAAATCACTCTGTGACTAGTTGGAGAAACATCTTCTGCGTCTACTTGTAATACTAAACTACATAATAATTCAGACGGTGTAGGTTCAATTGTGTGTATAAAAAGTGATCCTGTATAATCGATACACGCAAGAATTGCATTTGCAACATGAGCAAATGCAAGATCTTGAATAACACCACGCATTCCTCGCAGCAGAGATCTATGTTCTAAATCCTTGTATACAACACGGACTACCCCACCACCGGTACCAACTAAAAGATGGAAAATTTATCTAAATAGAAGTATGATTTGAATAGCTTCTATAAATACATGTTGTATAATTAATTTTAAAAAATCAACTTTTTTATTGAAACATTGTAAAAAGCATTTCAATTTGCAAAAAAAAACCATTGCAAACAGCAAACCTCAATCTTAATAAAAATTACCTTTTAAACCATAAGCTAAATATTTTCCAGATACATGAACAGCCAACAACTGGCCTGTGTAAAGATGATGATCCCATGTGAAGTCAACAATATTTTTCAACTTCACTTTAGAACTACCATGGTTATGATCACCAGGAGAAGGGATAATGGTCACATTTGTGCTACATAATCCAACTGAATGTTGATCCTCCTGTCCATTAAACTCTCTGTAGAAATAGAATGCTACATATCAAAATCCTCATACAAATTAAAACTTACATGCTATATTTATTTATATCTTTTTTCCTTATTATTAATATAATAAAGAAAGAAACATCAAATAGGCAATACAAAGTATATATTAATAAAAAAATGCTAAGCATGTTAGATAAACACTTGTTTCAAGTTGATATTTATGATTGATTCTTATTTAAAATCACCTTAAATATATATATTCTTAAAAATATTATAAATCAGTCACTTTTGGCCGGTATTCACAGTCAATTCTTATATTTAAGACTATCTTAAGCATGATCTAAAGATGTCATGAACTAATCAGAGAGCTATATTGTATTTTAAGATATTATTTTAAATTGTCTTCTAATAAGAGCAGAATATGAACATATCCAGCAAGCTGTATTAGCATTTTGAGACACTATTTAAATATTAAAATAAGGTCAAATTATGAATACCAGTTAAATCTTAAAGAAACTTATGTAAGGCCAGTATTCATAGTTGGATTCTTATATTTAAGTATTTAAATATTTTGTTTTAGTCTTAAAATATCATAAACCAATCACAAAAGGTATTACTTAAGATGATCTTGAAATAAAAACAGACTATGGCTACGTTTATACTATGCACTTAGTTTGCGATCTATACGATGGATGTTTTTGTTTAACTTACAAGATAAACAAGGACACCTATTTTATAAGCCACAGCCTAAATGCATGATGTAAACATAGCTTATGAATACCCTAGAAGCACATATAAAACCATGATATTTTATCGAAATATACTAATCAATGTAATATACCTTAAACTCTCGTACAGGATATCAAAAACAGAATAAGTCAAAAATAAAAGTATTATTTATTAAACTATATAAAAGAATATTTATTTAACATAAATTCATAAATAAATTTTAGAAACACACAATTTGTTCAAATTTATTTTAGTTATACAGTATGTAAAAATAAAATAGATTATCTATGTTATCTGATCCATATATATTAATATCATATTTTTGCGATTTAATAAATATTAAAAGTCTTCTATTTTTTAGTTGCTCTGTTTTAACGTTCTACTTGTCTTCTCGAGAGTTTAATGGAAAGTGGCAATTACAATATTTTCATTTTTGTAACAATTAGAGACACAAGACTTCATACTTATGGTCCTAAAGGCTCTAAAAGCTCAAAAACTCTAAAAGATCTCTCGACGAAACTTACACAGTCTGCTGGAAGTTGAGATGCCTCAGGTTGTCCTCCCCGGACTTACTCATACCGTCGGCCGTGTTCCTATAAAACAAATGAATTTACGGATTTGCACGACCCGGGTCGACGATTCCTAACCCCAGCCGGCGATGCCGCTGACCTGCCCCCACGGCATTACGAGATCAATCTCTCTCACCTCTCGGGCATAAATGCCGTTGTTTCTCGCCGTACTGCTCGTTCAAGATTAAATGGATCAGTCGAGCAGCTGAGCGCTCATCACCGGCACCGATTCACCGCGATCTCGGGTAAGCACCAACGCACACGCGAGACCAACTCGGTATCTCTCAACGAAAGTGAAACGTCAGGCGGCCATCACCCGGACACCCACTTGTATAATTACGGCTGTATTCCAAAATTCATTGCCAGCGCTGAAACTCTACAGTCTGCGTTACATGTACTATACATTTTCAGCACTGACAGTGAATTTTGGAACACAGCCTACATCTACAAAGTGAAGCCAGTGCGGGCAATTCCTGTTAAAGTATAGATACATTTTTTGAGCCGCTCAAACCGGTCATTTTAACGATAAGAAGGATCACATAGTCAAAATTGATGAATATCAATTTTCATTACGTGAATTTTTATTATTGAAACTGTTTTAAGTGGCTCTTGAAAATATCTTATCAGCTGTTTGAATTCAGTTAGTGCCATTCACTCACTTGAGTATCCGATTGGTTGTTGATGAATGGCTAGCTCCACACAGTATCTTCTAATTGGTTGATCCAGTGGAAAAACTCAGCATCATGTGAGTAACAGTCAGACAGAAATCTGAAGAGAGTCCATTATCTCAATGTTTTACTAAGGCACTAGAAATGCTTTATTTTGATGGATCCACGAAAAACGGGATGATTCTTTTAAGAAACCGTGTATTCTGATGTATTTAATTTCTGATAGGTTAAAGGATGCGGTTCACTTGACGCTACAAATGCTTCGAAACTTTTAAATGATTAATCGGAAGAAAGAATTTTATTAACTGGCCAATCAAAAAATGCTTCGAAGCATTCGTAGCATCAAGTGGACCGTAGCCAAAATTGTTTATTTTTTATTCCGAAATTTCTTATTCCTTTTATTGTGCGCAGGAGGGTCTTAAGTTTGCATTCAACAGCTCCCCTCCCCCTCTCTTAGAGTCTCTATAAGAGAGTCGCATCAATTTGAAGTAAAATGGCGTCTAACAAGGACTCTATTAAGGACTCTAGATTGTATACAACCATCGATGAAATACTATTAAAGATCGTCAACCATGGGCAAATTTTCGGCGGTATAAAAGGGTCCCAAGGGTCCAGAGGTGGAATTGAAGAACGCTGACATTATCGACAATTGATATAAATTTGCTATTATTAACATAAATATTTGGTTCATACATTATTAAATTCATGATTTTTTATTACTATTTACTATTTATAAATGTTCCATAAATAAATATGCATACTTGTAAAGCTATAATATTCTATATATAGCAGAAAAATTACAATTTTTTTCTCTGCAGTTATCATCTCTGTTGATAATCACAAACTTTGATGATAGCACTGAAATCACAATTTTAAAGAAGTTCGAGTATTATTGAGTTCTAAATGCATAAATATGTCCACTAAACTAATAAATCACAAAATTAATATAATATTTTCAGTTTTTAACTCTTAATTACTTCAATATTTATAAGAACGCCAACTCCCGTAAGGATGTCGGTTTTTAATAGTAGTGATACAATGTAGAATGTAGAATCATTGTGGAAGCTTTGATTAATAATATGATGAAATTATTTTAATTGAAATTATTTTAAATGTATCAAAATTATAAATAGGTAAGCCTATATATTATTATAAAGGTTTCGAATTAAAATTATAAAAAATACAGATATTATGTGGTAGAAAAGCATCGAAAGTGACATTCTAATTTTGTCAATCATACACAATTGTCAAAATGGGCGTCAAAATTTAAAATTACCAGTATAGCAGTTTGATGATGACAAGTCATTTTATTGCAAAATAAAAATATTGTTAAATGTTATTTTATTACTGTTTCGTATCATCACTATTTCAGTTCCAAAAGTCTAAAACTAGTTCAGCTATAGAAAACAGATCTACTTCTGTTAATATTTTGTAATTTAATATAAATTCTACTTGTCAATATTATTTAATTTAATGTAAATTCTACTGTCACAATTTTTAAAATCTAAATCATTGCGTTCACGATACTCGAAGTGAGGATACAATAGCATCGATGATTGGTTCCACCATTTTACTTCAAAGCCAATGAAAATTTGTACAAGATTGACGCTCTCTACCCCCCCCCCTCCACCCCCTGCCACTTATTGACAAAGCTCGCGCGTTTAGAATTTGAAATGTCAAATCATTTGCGACAATTGAGAAGCGTAATGGCGGACATGTGAGTAGCACGCGCGGATAACATCGTCGATTTTGATGCAATTTTCATAGAAAGAGGTATTTCTCTTTGTTTGATATAGCGATTATGGATTATTACAAATTCGATGTTTTTTCTCGCACTTTAAAAAGGATTTAAAGGATAAAAAGCTGTTTATTTCAGATAATTGGCGTAATGATAGGAGAAGTAGTTCTTTGTAGCGCGGCGAAACTGCAGCCGATTGTGAGTATAATTTTAAATGTATAAAGAAGATGTATCGAATTGAGAATCTATATATTAAATTTCAGACGCAAGTAAAAGGCTAATTTTATTTATACGTGTTGCTCACGTAAAACATTTGCATTGCATGGATATTTCGTCTTTGTCCTACTTTTTATTCAACTATAAAACTATGAAATTCACTCTGAAATTAATTGAAATATAAATACATTATACAATTAATTTGAAATTCTGGAAGATCGGGAATTTATTGATAGGAAGGAAATAAATTTTCGATAAATTTACATTTTATTTCTTATATTATATTACACTATAGACAGGCTTTTCATTCGCGTATGTGTCTATCCTTTGGAAAATGGCAGTAGTGCTCAAACGTACGTAGACCCAAAAAAAGATGGCAGTAAATTCAGCTAATGTCGCTCCACAATTAAGTAGCGCTTAACAAGTACGTTCTGTATGCCAAACATTGTTTTGGATCACGTATGTTCATCGAAAGCGAAGGGGGAAAAGTGAATCGGATTGTGTAATGGTACCTCCAATAATATTCAATTTTTGTATAATTATTAACAATGTTAGAATTGAAAACGTCCTTACTTTCATATAAGGAAAAATTGGATCATTAGATTCAAATAATTTTTTAATTATTTACAATATTTTTCCAATTAAAGGAAAATTACAGGAATTTGTAAAACTGAATTTTTAATTTAATTTAGACGAAGAATTAAGTAGTTTGAAACTGTTGGCATTAATTGCTCTCTTCAATAGAAAAATATAGAAATTTAAAGAGATTTATGAGCCAAGTAAATGAAGATAATTTTACAAAATAAATATTTTTACCAAAACTTTTTAAATTATCTATTTTTATGAGAATCCACAAAGAAGATTCTGTTATTTAAAAAAGATAAAAAACGGGAAAGATGAAAAATAAAGAATTTCTTGTCAAACAATAAAACTTATTTGAAATTTCTTACTAGTTCGACTGTTATGTCGCCAACAAATTTTTATTCTGATCTTATTTGTGACAATTATTTGCACGTAATTCTGTTAAATAATCTGCATAACTACGTCAATTTCGTCGTTGTCATTATTGTATAATATTAGATTATATAATATTAGTTTGTCACTTGTTTTTTTTCTGCATATTGAGAAGTCAGTTCATTGATTTTTATTCTGTGCCAAGACAGTATGCAGGGATTGATATAGCAATTCTTATTTAATCAAATCTTAATTTAATAAAATTCTAATTTTACATCCGATTCACGCTTCACAATCGCATTCTTTACGACGAAATCGCTATAATGTTCCAGAGACTTGGCGAGGTCCTTCTTGGAATATTGTTAGTACACAGTATGGTTTTTACCTTCCGACTTTCGTCTCAAGTATTAGCAATCGTCGTAAAGCTGTGCCCTCAAATTTCCAATAGGTTCTCGTGGCGAATATCTTACATTTTCCCGTACTGCCGTATAACGAGTAATTTTTGGGTCTTTTCGTATCATATATAATGTTACACAATGACAAAGCACACTGAGACACTGCGCCAATCCAATAGAAAAACAATATCGTCGTTATTGTGCCGTTAGTATTCACAGATCGAAGGGACGTAGAACCGCAAGGATAGACTCCTGTATGTCCCCGCGGCGATTTTTTTCACTCTCGTCGTTTTTCATTTTTCTAAGAGTTCGCTCGCTAGTAGGTAACGACTCGAAAATTAAAACATTTTCCTTCATCGATTACAAGTTTTTGTTTATAAGCGTAGTATTTCGATTTATCTAGCGACTAATCGACCGCGTTAATTGTCACGTAAATCATATGCGCAATTGCGATACAAAAACAATGACGATCATGAGTGATCAGTGAGTGGAGAGTAAGCTAAACCATCTACCTAGTGAAGGTAATATTGTACTTTGAATTATTATAAATGTAAACTATGCTATGTAAAACTTCCACTTATAATACTTGTTGCTCTAGAATCAATTAATTGTCAATCACGCGTTATTCTTTAATTTATTCCGCGTAATATATTTGACGCAAGTAAAATCTAAATAGCCGCGAGAGATGTCGCAAAAATGACGGTTTAAATATTACAAAAGATTAAAAGTTTGCACGAAGATATGAAAATTTAAAATCTTTATCGTTTATATATCGAGATGGTCCCTGCGGGATTTTAAATTGTATTGTATACATTATTTCTTTGGCTGCGTATATATATATATATATATATATATATATAATTACAAAAACATAATTTCATTTCACTACAATTAGATTTAAAATTGATATATCTCAGATTTTGTATCGTACTAACAAAATGTGTCTAACAAGTGCACGGAAATATAGAATCTATGATTTAATAGACGATACATTTAATGGCTATATTAGGGAGTTACTTCTTCCTTAATGTTTACGGAAAATCTTAAGAAATGATATTGAATCGATCGTCATTGATGTACAAAGTTTAAATTGGAATAACAATAGCAGAGAGAAGAAAAGAAGCGCGTTTGGAACCGTTACTCAGATCAGCGTAAGATTATTAATAATATAGGTAGAATATCGGTATGAAATTACGGTTTCATACACGTAATAAGACAACGTATATTAATGGATATACAAGAGAAATTCAGTTATAATTCTTTATGGGCACGAAGAGTGTAGAGACATGAATGTGAAGTGTGAATGTAAAAAGTATAATTTAATTATATACAATTATCAAAAACAATAAATATTCAAAATAATATAAACGCAGGTTGTATATTCGCTATTCGGTTATAATTCGCGAAGGTTAAATAATATTCAGTTAAATAATATACAGTGACGTCACCATTTCGTGATAATATTTAATCAAATATTATAATCGCGAATATTATACCAAATATTACAATATGCTACGTAATCGCATTTGATATGCTTATGATATATTGCTGTGACTTATAAAATAAATAAATAAATACATCATACAGATAAATAAATAAATAAGTCATGATTTATGCCTTATTAAGCGTTTACGGCTAAGCCTTGGTACAAAAAACCTATAGAGTTAATTGAGGAAGGTATATAACTCGTGTTTGACGGACGGATTCGTGCAAAGGAGAACCAGAATTAGGAATATATCACGTATCACAAGCGAAAATATCGACCAGTCCAGTCCATCTGCTTTGTTCATCCTTCTACGCTAGAGACGCTAATTATTCGGCGATAGATCGTGAAAGAATCGTATCCACATCCATTATTTATTAAGTTGAAATAGTTTCAACTCCACTCTCGTTTGCACGATGCCGCATAATACTCGCCGTGTTAATATGGTCGGTATTCATAGTCGATTCTTATTCCAAGACCGTCTTAAATAATGTCTTAAGACGCTAATGCGCTCGGCTCTCTGATTGGTGACATCTTAAGACTGTACTTAAGACGGTCTTGAATTTAAGAATCGACTATGAATACCGATCTATGTCGTCTATTTGCTGCGTAATTACATGCGCCGGTCGAGCTGCCGCATGTAAGAAGCGGTAGACTCAAAACTCGCAACGTGAAAGCACTCGCTGTGCGACTGATACTTGCGCGAGATAATTTGATCCTTAACGGGAAAGACGACGTCTTTGTGTTAACGAGCTTTGTTTTCGATAAATTTGAAAGATACTTTAATTGAAACAAATTCGTAAATTAAATCTATCGAATTTCTAGCTGAAAGATGACATTAAGCTTTAACAACAGAATTATTATCGTTTCGTACATTATACGTATCGTACATGGAGAATTGATATCTTTCCGTTTGATGTCCATATTTTATCAGTTAAGGGCAAACAAACGGATTAACAATTTCTAACGTTAAAAAGGCTTAAGATGGTCGAGCCTACCGCTTGGCGTGATCTAAGACTAGGACATAAAATTTCGTTTATTTTGAAAAATACTGTACACAAGAATACCTAAGGCGCGTTGACGCTCACGTTCTTCGCGTTTAGACGTGTATCGAAGCTGCGACTATATACGATGGAACCGATACATTTCCGCCGTAATAAAGAGGAATAAACGTGCCAGACAATGACAAAGACTGGGTGAAGACAGAATTGATCTTTTCACTCGATAATATCCATCCTCCTTCGGTAAAAGTGTAAAGTTGCTGCGTTCATCTCTTTAAGAATCGGAAGAAGCCCTTGCTCTTATCTGGCGGTGGTGCCATCAGCATCGGTACTTGATTTTTGTGCGTAATACGAATCTGTGAATCCGGAAAAATATTTTTAGTCTTTTCATTTAATTTGTAATTTAAATATGAAGACATCAATATGAATATATAAAGATAATTATTACGTGTTAATTATTTCATAATTGTAATATACTGAAAAGAAATCTTTTATAACAATCAAATCTAGATAATTACTAAAGTTTTGGTGAAATAATTTCAATCAAATGTTCAAATATAACACTAAAAATTAGCTAAAAGCTACTTTTTTCTAAATCTTATCTTACTTTTCTAATTATTATCAAATGTCTGATTACTATTCTGTTAATATTTACTAAATATTTATAAAATATTATACGCTAAAAATATATTTGGTAGCTATTATCAGACTTTTTTCAGTAATATGTATGAACTTGGAATTTATATATATTCTAAATAAAATTTATATAAATCAAACAGCACAGTCACAGAACGTCTTGATAATCTAGTATAAAATTATATATTTATTAAGACATTTAAAAAGAGAAAAGAATATTTCATTTTCTTCCAACAAAATGTTTGATAAAATCTTGAAGAAAAAAATTGGCTCATGTTCCGAAAATTTTTGTCACATTTGAATAAATATTCAAATGTTATTGTTTTATTTCAGCTCACCGTGCAAGGACCCTGCATCCAAGGTTCGCCATCGATTTGCATGGGGAATCGTTTGCTCGTGATGATAGTGACGCTGCTACACTGGGCCAACCTTCGGCCGGAATGTCGGAGTCCAGTCTTCACTTGACCCATGTGCAAACAGTTCTCCAGACCAATTACCTCGATCAGATTGTCCCCGATGTCTGCGGATAGTGGGTAAGTACTGAATATTACTAAACGCTTCTTCGCATTCTATTTGCATACGTTTTTCTGCGAAGCGCGAGAATATTATATCGGAAGATTAATTATTTCGCGCGTTGAGCTCACCTTGAATAGCGGCCGTGAGATCTACGGAATTGAAGCTGCTTGTACTGAGTTCTTTGTCGGGTCGCTTTTTTCGCTTGCCAAGACGATGCCGCGTGTGATGTTCGCCCCAGAGGTTCGAACCTCCGTGAGTGAAAGGAATGTTTAGCAATGCGACTCCTTGCAGAGATGGACCGTGCGCTAAATCCAGAGGCGTACCGTCGCACTGCAATCGATGAAATGCATGTAGCGTCACGAATTCCATTGATTCCTTTGAACTGATTGATTACGGATTTGACTGTACGTATTTAGGACGATGTTAGAACGGAAGTGGATGATTAATTCTTGCTCTGCGCTTGGTATTTGAATATTTCAGCTCTATTCGGTATACAGATCCATTAACCGAATGAATTACATATACGTATGATATATCAAGGATTATATTGACAAAAAAATATACAAAATTTTAATAAATATTTATTTGAATAATACTAACTAAATATTTATTAAATATAAAGATGTATTTATTTAGTACAAAAACTATTAATTTGATCTAACGATCTTTTTTTTTTATTGAGTAAATATTTAGTTAAAGTATTATTGACAAAAATATGTATTAAGATATAGTAAATTTTTTTCTTAGTATACATATATAGCTATGCTCACAATTATCTCGAGATCTTCGTGAAGATTTTTACAACTAGCAGCGAACTGCTCCGTAGTTGCGTATTCGAAGTACCACAGTTTATTTTTCATTCTGCTATTAAATTTCTCGGGATTTTTTTCCCTCTCCATGTGAAATTTCACGCATATAGCGGCGTCGACGCCCACCGAAAAATAATTATTAATGATATTATATGGTATGCTATCCTGATTCGGTTTTTTTTCGTCCTTTTGATCCACTTCTATTTGCCAGCGATCCATCATCACTTGTGTCGCCTTTTCTATTTTCTGCGAATCGTTAAGGTTTTCATGTAGCGAATTTCCACGGTATAATTCGACGTTAAATAATAAAACATCCGACTTTTTACTGAGATATAAAAATAGAAGATATTTTCTCGTAATATGAGGGAACACAACTTTTCGATTTTAATTAAGCTTTAGATATGTTAAAATATAGATAAAAAGAAAAAATATATTTTTTTACAAGTGTTTTCTCCTGCACGTTAAGAGAATGAAAAACTCTCCATTGGAAAAAAATCCTTTCCTCTCAATTCTTCTTATTAAATAATTCGTATAAACTGTCAAAGATATTAAAAAATATGTTAAGAAAAGTTAAATAGGTTCAAGAATATTTAATACTAATAATAATAATAATAATAATAATCTTTTTAATTCTTTATTTTTTATAAATAAAAAAATTGTGTTTAAAAGAAATTTATTGTCATTATTGTAAAGTACTTTTGAGACCATTCAACTTTTATTTAAAACTTTTTTTATATCTTTGACGAATCACTCAAAAAGAAAAAACCGATTTTCTTAAAGGGAGGAAGGGGGTTTCATTTCTTAACATACGAGAAAACAATTATAAAACAATTTCTTATTTTTGTGTTTATTTTAACATATTCAAAGCTTATTAAAGTAGGAAGAGGATATTTAGTTGTATTCTCTTATCAATTAGAGTACTGAGAAAAATGTTTAGTTAGATTATATAATTAAAATTTTAATTAAAAATGGACGAATCAAAATTTTTCGATTAAATCTATTAGAATTCTAGTTGAGACAATCAGAATTCTGATTGATATAATCAAAATCTTTTGGTTCGTTCATTTTCAACCAGACATTCTTCTCAGTTCATCTATAACGTATATTAAAGTATGTGTGTTATATAGAAAATATATATAGAATAGAAACGTATATTAAAAATATATACTGTTTGCTTTACCTTAAGTACTTTGTGTATCGCTTCTCCTTCGTAACCACCACCCCAACGTAAGCATCTGGCAAGATCATTGCCTGTACCAAGAGGTATAACGCCAACGGCAGGTTGTTTCTCGAATTGCACACGATCTGGATGAAATAGTCATCAAATTGATTACAACATTAATTACAACATGCGGTTGCCGTTATCGTCAAATGTTAAATTACTAGTAATCAATTAATAAGCGGTACCGAAAAGCAACATTGAAATGATGAACTTATTATGCATAAATCGGTTAATAAGGGAAGATTTATTAAAATCCAGGCTATTCGTTGATCTATACAGTCGATAAAAACCTATTATCAGATTTAATACACGCACGGTTAACAATTAGCACACAATATTGCAAAATATATTACAAAGCTTCTACGTGTCGTTGTACAATGTTATTCATTTTACTTTCGCGTTTTCAGTATAAATTTAATTGCATACACACATCGTAATTAAATCGTGATACATACCCATAGTTTCCAAAACCCAGCCAACTGTTCCATCGCCGCCGCAACAGATTACGTTAAAATTTTCCACATCCTTAAACATCTGCAGGCCCTGCATGGGCCCACCGATTGCTAGATTGTGAACTTGCCGAGGATTTAAAACGTATTGAAACTTCCGTAACATTCGCTCCCCTTGCCGACCGCCCGATTTTGGATTTATAAAAACCAAAAGCGGCGTTGTACCTTCCGGTGGTGTAATTTGAAAAGACATAGCTGGTTGTTGATTCGACCCACTACCGCAGCTCAGGAAAACACCCTATTTTAGATTCAAATATGATCATTATATGTTTTAACACGCACTTTTTATTGCCTTTTGTCAGTTATTTTTGTTGATATTTTGCAAAGGTAACAAGAGTCCTTAAGTTATTTACTTTTTTATTTTCTTTGATTTTTATTGTTTTAGATTCATTGCATTTATTTGTTATATATATAAAATATGCGACATTTCGTTAGTATGCCGTTTAAAAGCATAATCTCTTAATTTTAATTTTTATTTTCTCAAGCATCTTAGAAAGCTGTAAATAATTTAATGCTAATAAACATCTAAAAAACTGTAAATAATTTCTTGCGAAAAATATTACCTCAGCCGAGATTTGAACTCGAGTCGTGCCAATTCGATTTCCCAATTCGATCATCGAGGTATGTGATATCATTAATTATTTACAGCTTTTAAAATGCTTATAGGCATCTAATTATTAACAGCTATCTAAGATTCTTATTTGCTTCAATAATATTAAATTACTTGTCAATGCGATATTACTATTCCAGTTTTGATTTAGGACAAATAATCACGCAGTTTATTTAAACTCGAAATTCACGAGAAGTATTATTAAGCACGAAGAACCGCCTTGACTGAATATGATATGAGATTGTATTTTATATTTGTTTCTTCACGAGAGGACTTTTAATAATAAGAGATAATTAATATGGATGATTATGTATTGCACTTACGGAACTGACCGATGAGCTGTCCTGACAGTGTTTGCTACCACGTTTGTTGTCCCTCGACAATGACCTTTGTCTCTCGAGTACAACAGGGCAAATTGCCGTAGGTGGAAGGATGTGTATCGCATGATCACCGAGCGTACATTCTGCTCGTACTTGTGACGCACATTTATTATGTAACTGCAATATTTCCGCGGAAATATTTACATAAACGGTTAGGGATACTATTACACTATTACTTCAACGAATAAAATTTACACATATATTTGTTTATATTTTTTTATACATATTTAATGTGCATATTTAATGCACGTATTTAAATTTTTTACCATCTTAAATTTTGTCTGCATTATTTAATCAATTATATTAAAGAATTAATATAAAAATCATCTTATGCATTGAGTAATTTACAATTAAAGACAGAGAGAGAGAGAGAGAGAGAGAGAGAGAGAGAGAGAGAGAGAGAGATGTAGTCTCTAGAATATTTATCTAATCAATAAATTAATTATTTTATGACATCTTTAAATGTATTTCTCTTTTTCTGTTTTTTCTTCTCACTCTGTCACTCTCTTTCTCTCTTTTCTCATATAACTACGAATATATTTCGAACTTTATTTTGAATAATGAATATAATTAATTTTAAATATATGTGTTACAAGATGTTTACACATTACGTTGTATTCTACATTGATATCAACTTGGAAAAAATACTCACGGTTAATTGACACCATCTGCAGCGTAAACCGGTAATGCCGTTGTAACTCTTGATGGTCTTTCTGCATTTGGAACATTTTCCATGACAATTACCTTCGACCCAATGATGAGCCATTGTTTGAGGTGTCTTCTTACTCTTAACATATGTGGCTATGCAGGAAGCTGGCGCTCTTTGTACGCACCTCTCGTGTACCGTGTATTTGCAAACTAACCCGAAAGAAAGGATTGTTATTCAATGATGATTAACAATGTTGGTTTTGAATAAAATGCGCTCGTTTTTAGAGCTCGTGGTTACGTACTTCATACGATTCTGTTTTTGCAATCGCTATTCCTAATTTAACTAGTTTTGGTATCGCGAAGTAGAAGTAGCAATAAGGATTTCTTACTCACAGACGCAACATAGCCCTTTCTTGCCAAGGCCAACCAACATATTTAAACAGAGATTGCAGTACGCGGGTTTGCTGAAATGTTTTAGCCTCCACAGATGATTTCCGTCTTCCTTCACGTGGGAATCCAAACCCAGAAGAACTAGCAGGGGTATTGTCGTGAGGCCACCTCTCTTCCATTCTTCTAGCGAAACTGTACCATCTGCGTCGTAGTCAATTTCTATCATCATATCTTGCAGAATCTAAAATGGAATTATACTTTCTATGTATTGCTTCCGTATAATTGTCAGTTATTTTCGAAAAATTTTTCTTTGATATTTTATAATAGTAAATCGTAACAGAAAAGTTATTAATTGAATTGTAATGGAAAGACGATCAATCTTCAAAATCTGAGTCTGCTGAAAGCAGGATTGATTCCTACCTACCGGCTTTAACTCACTGACGTCCCAGCCGAGATATTCCGCGACATTCATCATTTGATTTACGATACAGTCCATCTCCTAGATACACATAATAATAATATTAGTAATAACGGTAAAGGACAACCGTTATATCGTATGCTCCATGACGCGTATCCTTTATTAAAACTATGTACAATGTATCGAAATATTGATCATCCTTTCTTTGAAATTTTGTATATGTATATCAAATATACATCCTTTTCCTTATATATCCGATCATACATATACGAATCTGTAATCTTTCATCTTTCATTAAAAACCCGTGTTTTCTTCGTGGCTTTTTATTTGCCCTAGCTAGATAGATGCCAATGAAAGCAATGGCTTCGCCGCATATTTTCATCTGCTTTTTCCGCTATCGGCAACGTGAATATTTATCGGCTGCACAATTTGTATACCGCGATATCAATGATTTATTCAACATGGAACTCATTATACGGGCGATCGTCGTTTTCCCGACATCCTTCTTGGCCGTAATTTCATGTCAACACATAAATCGCACCTCCGCTCTATATATATGTATATGCATCAATATGCACTAGGCATATCTCGCACCCAAATGACAAATGCATTGAACACCTGCTGCCATAAATTTCGAATGTAAAACACTTATTTTGCTGTTCCGCAACTATCATGGTATCTTAAAATCAATGTCGAAACGACGGAATTCCAATGATCGGTAAAAATTCTAGGGGGTAGACGCTTAATTATTTTAACTTATATTCTGAGATTAATGAATATACATATAATGATAACGTTTATTATTAGTGTTCCATTATTTATTGATGTACGATAAGCGTATAATGAAACAATATTGATATAAAATGGACTGTTTTCACATAATAATAATAATAATAATAGTAATAATAATACACATTAGTTAGATACGGTTTTCCGGGTACTCAATTGCAAAGAGGTCAATGATGCGCGTCATCGAGGCACCGGAAATTATACTCGTTCTACGTAATTCATGTTGTAACGGATCGCAGAGGGTACATGTCAATTGACGTGTCTGTTATGGGTGCAGCTAACAATATGGAACAAGTATTTATCTCTTCTATTAATATCAGCCGAAGCTATTCTATACCGCTGTTGTTACTTAAGCAACAAAGGTCAATCTATTTTCGCCGAGGAAAAGTCGGTTTCGTTCGCGTAAATTGGAATCAGAATTATTTTTCACCTTTTGTCGAGTATCACATATCGATTGCTTAATTAATGTGATTATTTTAACATTGCGCGACGACACGGCATTTATTTGGTATTTAATCTATGACAATATATTGAAATCGTATTTAATATATACGCCACAATATATCCCTCAGCAAAAGTCACAGTAATATCACAACAGTCATGATGAACGTATATGAATGTCCGCTTTTGTCACAGGTATGACAAAACTATGACATTCATCATGAATTAAGCTGTGACATCATTATTAATGAAGCTGTGATAAAAATTGCACTTCACTGTCACTATGATACATGTATATACATTAAGGTATTAATGTGATGTCACACTGTGATCTTTTGATAATCTCACAGTTACATTGCAATTTGTCCGTTACTATTATAAGTCTTGTGATGTGAATGTGACTTTCTTTGCTATGGGGAATATATGGGACAATTAATGACATTTCTGTCTAGTACAAGCAACATTGTAAGACAGCGTTACACGTGTTCTCTGCTTGTGCGTGATCCGCATTAACTGATAATGATGATTCTTTACTCACGTTCGTATCAAGGACGCCATTCCCATCCGTATCATACAGCCGGAACATGACTGAAAAAAAGGATTATCCGAGTTAACACAAGACGAAATTGCCGCGCAACAAGTTGCAGCTGCACTACAAGTCCACGCGGAATGGACTTGTAACAACTGTAGCAGAAAATCGAGAAGGACTGCCGGCCGACACGCGAGTCCTCTCATAAATTTTATAGGTACGTCTATCATTCTCGTTTCTTTTTTTTTTTTCTCATATGTGTTACTTCAATATTTCTCTCCGAGGGCAAAATATTTGATTAATTAGCATTTTGCAATAAAATAAAATTTCGTAGATAGAAAAACATGTTTACGTAAAAGGATTTAACTTCTTCAGCTCTTGTTATTTTAACGTAACTATTATTTCAATATTTTTCAAATAATATTTTTTATTGCCTTTTCCTTTTTTTTATGAAAATACCTTCAAATGTTTTTCAAAGGAGGTATACATATGAAAAAGTCTAATAAACTCTATCTATACTGAAAAGCAAATGGGTGATTTTTTTTTTTTTTTAGAAGATTACAGTCTGAATTTTCAAGCCCGGAGATATTCATGATGATATTGTATACACTTCGCGAAACAATTTTTTACTGTGTACGCGCACGTGAAATATCGCTCTGATAACGCTCTTCTAAAAACATACGAGATTTATGCGCGGACATGTTTTTTGATTATACAGGAAACAACCATGTAATCGTTATAGCATCGATCCCGGCTACAGAAAACAATGCCGGGTCTGTTTCAAAGCATCGTCGATCATCCCCTCGAATTATTCGGTATGAAAGTTAATGGGAGTTTCGTGAATTTCAAGATATAATCGTTGTTTTGTGGCAATTACTTACATTCCAGTTTGTCTTCCGGTCTGCCGGCTTCCAAGAGAGAGAGATAACAAACGATGTCTTTGAGGCTGACTTTAACGGACTGAACGTCTATTGTGCTTTGCTTCCTGACAAGATGTCTCATCTCTGGAAAACAGAAATCTAATTTGAGATCTCACTAATTTACAATTGCTGATCAATAAGCATATCGTTAATGCAATATTGTCAAATAACTAGATCATAATTCATAAATTTACAGATAAATATTTTAGAAGCTGAAATGTAATGCATCCTAAAATACATTAAATATCAAATAATTTATATATTACAATATATTAAGTTATATTATTAATTACATTATATTATAGTATTAATTTTTATAACGAAATTATTTTAATTTAATTTTTCAAATATTAAGGACATGATTTTTTAATTGATCAGTATGCTATCGCGAATAAAATTGTAGAAATTATCATAACTAACTATTTTCATTCCCAAGAAGTTAAACTGAATTTTCATCGTTTAAATGGATTTTTCTTAACGTCGCATTTCATGGAAAAGTCCGTTAAAGTATCTGGATATCGGATAAAGTGAGAATCGCCAGACTTGCAATATGATGGATCTATTCCATATTTCGTAGAAAATTCACTATACATTCTGGCGTTAAAGTAAACGGAAAATTCGCGATTTCGAAGGGATGGTCAAACCGTATTTTTAGATAAACATTCATATGGACTGGAGTAATTGTATCTAAAAGTTTAAAGGACCTGTTGCTTCGTGCGAAGCAGCGCGATTGTCAATATGTATAAGCGATGAATTGGATTTGTCATAATAGATTGTTATAGAGTTTAGTCGCGACTCGAGACAGGTCGACGACGTCTAGCCCGTATTTCTGAATCGCCTATTTATATCCAAATCGCTATGTAGTTCTGCATGAATCAATACAACTGTCTATCGATTGGATCGCTGTCGATAAAATTTATTCTTGCGTATTATCACGATTTCGAAATTTGAATTGCCGGGAAACTGAAATTAATATCGACGAATTCGCAGTTCGAAAATAAAAAAAAAAGCACGCAAAAGCAAATCTCTTGCTCGCGATAAAATGGAAAAGTGACAATAGAAAATTGATACAAGATACATTTTGCGTTTCTATCGGATGAGGAAATAAACTTATTAATATCACATCGCTTTTGAAATCGTATTATAAATGTTATAATATTATTTCGATAACAGTCAATTTAGCATTAATTTCACTTTCAAACACAATTTATTAAGAAACAAGAGATCGATATTATCTACATATACAAAGATACATATATATATATATATATAATCTTATCCCGAAAGATTTCTAACTTTGAATACGTCCCATGAATTCATAATTATATATTTTCCATTAATAGAGGAATTAGCATACGATTTTCCAATGGTTCGGATTCTTTGGTCTTATTTTTAGATGACATCGCGTGTCTCGCAGGAATAATTTTGCATGACGATGAATAAGTTAAAAATAAACTTTCGCACGAGACGATGCGTCGCGCTAACTAACGCAATCATGCGCTTTATCCGTGCGAGATCGTATATTTTTTTACGCTAGAACAATTCAATTTATTCCAAGTGAAAATCGCGAAAAACTCATAACTTAGGGAAAAAATTGTTCGGCGACGGCGACGCGACGTTCTGATCGATTGCATACGTATGATTAATCACCGTAACATTCAGCTGAAACTTTAAATCAATCTACTAAATTATTTTCTATTGCTCTAAACTCTTTAGAGTGGAATTTCACTTTGAAGTATGAAAATTGAGCCAATCTTGAGAAGGAGCGATTTAATTTTCAATTTCATTTTTAAGACTGAGCTTTCACTCTAACAAGTTTTAGAGAATATACATAAATGTCCATGTAATATCCATATTATCTACATTTCAAGCAGTGAAATACTTTTTTTTCTCTTCAGTTTATATCAAAATTTATTGGACGTAATTTCATAATCATACGCAATGTTTGACTTTGCATCCTGTTTTAATGAAAATCTATGATATAATCATTAGCGGCTTCATTGAATTAAACTAATTATTATTTGCGGATTATAGCATGAATTATTTGATTTAGCGTTGATTTCGCGTGAATAAATTGATTGTCGTATTAGCGCATAACACGTGAATTAAAAATGTATTTGCGTACGTCGCTTGTAATTGTGTACGCACAGTGTGGAGATTATCTCGGTATAAATATAATATAATAATCGAATCTTCGAAAGAGCCATGTGTGAAACTTATCTCACCTTCCTTCAACTTCACTCCCGATACGTTTGGTAACTGGACCATTTTTCACTATTAAAAACGATGTAAAAAAGAGGAAATTGGTCTCTCTAGACCGGATTATCTGATCCTCTTGTATCGTTTAATTATTAATCAGAATCAAATAATAAGATTAACCCGAGTTGAGTGGCGCGTTGACGTGCGATTAATGATTTAGCACTTGTTGCTTCTCTTGCGACTCAAGAGTCACTGAGACATAGCCTCAGGAACCTGGTATCATTCTCTCCCACACTCGTGACGTCATTTGCACCGGATGATACCGGCGGCACAGCTATTTTGGTGACATTGGCACGTGTGCATGAGCTACGCAAACTCGCCCGTATGCCGCGCGAATAATTTGAAACGCGCAATGTCCCACTCTGTGCTATTCGGGATCGATACGGTAGTAGATTAGTAGTTCATTAATTAAGACAGCACGCACTACGCAGTGACGTCAAGTCTGTTTTATTTTTAACGGTATTTTTTTTATACTTTTCGCATTCGGGGGTAGCACAATTGTCAATTCTTAGAAAAATGCCGAAAATACACTCTTTAAAACCTCTGTAGAGATTAACAGTGAAACCTCACTCTTAAAGATTGGAAACTGAGCTACTCTTTTTCAAGACTGGTTCAATTTTACTCTCTTTTTCACTCTTTAAAGTAAGATTTTATTTCAAGACATTTGATAGCAGATTAATAAAAATATAGAACAAATTAAATAAAGAAGAACTAACACGATTGAAGCTACATCTTGGTACCATAATGTGTGTGTGTGTATATATATATAAATTTTAAATATGTTTTTTAATTATATAAACTACGCGCCGATATTACTGTCGAAGTTAAAATGCAATTATAAACTGGAGCTGAATATAATATCACAAATTAAATTGATCGCTAAATTAATAAATGATGCTAATAAGTATCTTAAATAACTTATTACGGAAAATATTATCCTAGCCAGGATACCTATTCAAAACTATAGAGATATATATGGAAGATAGAAATACTTAAATTTGTATAGGACTTTTATCATTGATAGTGCGGGATCGTTGAATTTCGTTATTATGTATTCGGATCGATTATTTGCATATACATCGATCGTAGAAATATTTTCCGTTTTCTATTCCTATCCTCTTCATATGTTTTTCACATGATGTATTTTACGATCCTTTTTATTACGAAGCGAGCACCTGGAGGCAACTATTCATCTTCTGATTCATAAAAGACGAGATCGAGTCTGTAGTTCAGCTTACCTCAGCTCAGCAATAATTTCAAAATGGCTCGAGGGTACCATAACGCTATCGGAACATTGATTCGTCACATATCCTCTATTTTCAGATCATATTTGATGTTTTCTTTGCATTTTCACGAGTACCAAGAGCACACGTGTACTCCAAGAGGGGCGCGGAAGACTTTAACACACGATCTTTCAACACCTCCAATGATGTGTTCCAACGCGGAAACGCATGTGTTCCACGGTGTGTTTCATGTGTAAAGAGATGATAAGATCAGACCCCCGTTTCTTTAAACAGACTCGGAAATAGAACCCGGATTGAGTTTTCTCAATCGCGTACACAATCTCCAGTACGTCATGACATTTCGTGAAAATCAACCCGTCTTTCGTCTCTCGTCGTACGTAGATTGTCATGTAAAACCAGAATTTAAAATAGCAATCTCCATTTTCCCTCCTGTATCCCCGGTGAAGATGCGCAAGTTTATACCGCGCGATCGATGGCACGATCGCCGCAGACGTGAATAAATATTTCCCTTAAATCCATAACGTAAGCATGATTATTTCTGTCACTTACCAGTGCGTCTTCATTTAGAGCAGACATAAACACCGCCTGTTGATGTCTCGCTCGAGTAATTTAAATAAATTACATTTTGACACATATTACGCGCTGGAAAATTGACAAAACTAATCGCTCCTTGATTTTGAGTCTTCCAACGAAATTATCGAGTTTTATGATTGAATTTTAAAATAAGATTAATTATTGAATACGATTTTTTTTTTTTCTATCAGTAATATTTCTAATGACGAAGTCATGAAATATGTATTAAATAAGATGTAAGACATGTATGGATAAAAATAGCGCGAAACGCCATGACAAAATACTCGCGGAAATGCATAATGAAGCAAGGAGATGGGCTGAGTTGATATCGTATAAAAGGTATATCGGCACTGGTATTGTAGTCGCTATTTTTTTTTTTTTTTTTTTTTTTTACTTTTATTACGCTGACTCGTTCCGATATGGTGAAGTACACTCCTGAAAGAGATGTCACGTTCCTCCATAATTTATCGCAGCATTTACGATCTCAGGTTTTGTTTGGGAAAGAGAAGAGAAGAAGAAGAAGGAGGGAGAGAGAGAGAGAGAGAGGAAAAGAGCTTACGCGCCTGTAAGATCGATGGCGACTAAAATGGACTCTTTGTCATTGCGCTACAGCGCGATTTCTTTGACAAAAATGAATTCTGCGTTGTGCACTATTTCACGGATACGCGAGTTCACGTGCGCTGGATGAGAAATCTTTTAAGCGGTACGATCTAACATCCTTTAATTCCGCATTCGCGTAAAGCCATACACAGCTGTTCGAGGAACTTTAATGCAGGGTATTTCTCGAGAAGAAGCTCTCGATCACGAAGAACCGATTCTTTATCGAGAGCTTCTACGAACGTAAGCTTCAAGTATCTAAAATGAAAGAGAGGAGAGCGCAGGTGGGGATTATATCCAAAGAATATAGCGAACCGAGGCCCGTTAAAAGGAATCGCGCGCGCGTATATCGAGATTTAGTTAATACAGAGAAAAAGAATTTCCAGGTTAATAAACAAAGAAGGATAGATGGAAAAATATGAGGGAAAGATTAACGCTACAGCGGGAAAGAGGGTATAAAAAAATCTGAGTGGAAATTCATTTCTGCAATAATCTCGATGGTAAAATAGAATTTCGTGTTTGCGAACAGTATTGCGCTCAATGTACCGTATATGTATTGGATTCAGCGATTGCCCCTACCTTCCAATTTCCCGTTGTTGACAAGAAGGGAATTGTTCGACTTCCTGGATGAATTACGCGACATTTGGCTTTGACTTGGACTGCTGTCTGTGCTCTTCTTCTCTAGCACATCGTGACAGCTGTACGACGTATGGGTGACCGTTAACATCGGATGCACGCTTCCTGAATCGTCCATGTGATTGCGTGAAATACAAGAAAAACAAACAACATGATCGATCAGCTTCGCAAGTTGATCTTCTATATGCAAGACGTGGTGCAGCGCGCTTTGAAAGATTCGTTGGTTAAATATTCATTATCCGATCTGGACATCTAATGTTCTCGAAGGCTATATTTTGTGTCTCCCGAGAAATGTACTCTCGAAAATCTTTGAAGTAGAAGTTTAAACTCTAAAGAGTGAAATTTCACCCTTAAAAATTGTCAATTGAGTAATTCTTTTTCAATATCGATTCAATTGTCATTCTTTAGAATTAGATTCCACTCCAAAGATTTTAGGGGACATTTGTTTATATGGAGTTCTTGATTTCTCGCGTTTAAGAGCGATAAGTTACATTAAGAATTACTCCATTTCTGAATTAAATAAGCAAACATCTTTCTCTGTTTTTTCCTGATAAATACTATATCGTCTACAATGTTATGTTCAGGAATTAAAAATATATTCACGAGAGATAAATACGTGCACCATGTATATTTGTACAATGTCTCTATAGATCAACTTGGTAAAGAATCGAGAATCGATATTTAGAGCGAATTTATTTTAACGAATGGTACCGTCGGGCTTCAAGGAGTCTTCATTCAAAGCTTCTTTGGTCGGATCGATTGTTATTCGTCCGCCATTTCAAAGCAAACAACTGCATACACATCGATATGTGATGCAGGGTAAAAAATATTCCAACCGTTGGAATTGTCATTTTCGTTTTGCCTGCTTCTGACCTATTTTGTCACAAGAGTATTCGTTTACCGTAAAAATATAGCCTGAGAAACGGAAGGCCCGAGCGCTGCCGGTACAAATTGAGAAGAAAAATATTAAATATTGTATTAAAATAGTATTGATACAGTGGCCATTTTGTGTTGGTCACTTCTTCAACAGAGCCAATTGTGTTACAATTTTACGTGTCATTACAATTTATATAATTATTAAAAAAAAAAAAAATAGTTTTTATATAAGTAAAATAAT